GGTCCTAGACCATGCTGATGGTTAGCCAAGAAGCACGAAACAGCTGTCCATGGTTGGCTGTCATTTTGGTCCGAAGGACGAAAACATTATATTTAGTTTATTCAATGGCAAGTAAACCACATCTACTTTACAGCCAGAATCGCCAGCGATCTAGCGGTCACGTGGTGACTGAGCTATTAAGCGAGCTGAGATCTCTAGCAGCCATGTGCTTTCCGTAGTGGTCGATTCTCGTGTGATAGATGGCGCTTTGGGCGGTCTTGTTTCGGTAGACCGTACTTCCGGTACAGAGGATAGTTGCGATGTTTTCTTTGATTCATCCAGAGACAAAAGCCCAAGCCTAGACCATGCTGATGAGTAGCCAAGCAGAACGAAACAAGTGCGCCATGGTTAGTGATCTTTTTGGTCGGACGGAATAAAACATCATGTTTGTTTTTATAGAGAAAAATATCAAGCATAGTTATGTAGATATAATTTGTGGATCTTCTACCAAAAATATTTTGAAGGTGCCGTTTTAAGCTGGGTACGCCCTCGCACAGCATAACACTGTAGTGTAGCTTGCGCATCCCACAATGGGTATCTTGGAACTCATTATCTCGCGGACGACTGAGCAGAAACAATTTGCATTCGTAATGTATGTTTGGACATTTTCCTGAATTAAATGATACCTTAATATACAGGGTGTTTCAGTTTATTATTGCATAACTTCAAGATTCGATAGTACTTTTAAAATTAATGCATAAAGTCTATATAAACATGGGTCGAAAAATGCGTGGCTTCTGAAATACTTTTTAAAATATTTTTTTTAAATATTTCGAACAATATTTGATGTATAACAGTGAAATTGGTATACTAGGGTTTTTTGGTACGTAAAATGAACCATGGGCATAGTTTTACTGTAGCCGCTAGAGGGCGCTCTCTACTGTACCTGTAGTGTATTAAATGACCGAAAAAATTTTCTTAGTGCAATTTTTTGCGTTTTGAATAAAAAAACTGATTTTTCGCACTTTTCTGCATAAAACAGCTCTCCTGTGAGTTTTCGTTATAGTTAGCAATTTTTGAGATATTTCGATTTTTAGGGTGATGCATTTTTAATTATTTATGGGAAAATAATATTTTTTTTACATTTTCGATTTGGGCATTACAAGTTATTGAGATGATCATTTAGATTGTATTTTTAACACAGCAATAATTCCTAACTCCAAATAAACACAAAAAAAACAGAATATTAATTTGTTTAATTTTCCAATATTATTTTCAACAAATTAAATTAATTATTTACAACTAAAATGCTATTGGATAGTTAGGACAAACATACAAAATCTAAAGTAGTTGCCCGAAATGTAAACCCAATTGTTCAATACACAATTCACATCTACGAATGAACTAACGTGGTATAGCATTATTCAAATAAGGCCTTATTTCATCACATGCATTCCTGATTCTGTCTATTAGCATATCTATTGTGGTTACGGGAGTCTGGTACACTTTTTCTTTTAGAAACCCCCACACAAAGAAATCTAATGGATTTAGGTCAGGGGATCGTGGAGGCCAGGCGACTGGTCCAATCTTCTTAAATCTAACATAACATCATCCCACATATTTGCATGTTCAGCCTTTAAAAATTCCAAGAAAGTCGCAGCATTTAACCTTGCAGGCAAAAGGAAGGGTCCAAATAGTCGATTACGGTAGATACCAATCCACACGTTCACACTAAATTCATGCTAAAAATGCATCGAACCTTAAAAATCGAAATATCTCAAAAACGGCTAACTATAACGAAAAGTGCGAAGAATCAGTTTTTTTATTCAAAAAGCAAAAAATTGCACTAAGAAAAATTTGTCGGTCATTTTAATAAACTACAGGTACAGTGGCCATGGTTCGTTTTGTCGTACCAAAAAACCCTTGTATACTAATTTTCACATCAAATATTGTTCGAAATATTTAAAAAAAAAAACTATTTTAGAAAGTAAATTTAAATACCCTGAATTTCGGAAGCCACGTATTTTTCGACCCATGTTTATATAGACTTTATGCATTAATTTTAAAAGTTCTATCGAATCTTAAAGTTATGCAACAATAAACTGAAACACCCATAATATTCTGGAAATTAGAATACTCTACACGAAAAGAAAGATACGTGATTTTTGATAGGGCGGGACCACGTATCACCGTAGTGAGACAGTAAAAAATTGCTAAAGAGGTCACATGATTGATGGGCGACCTATTAGCACCCTACTATGATCGAGTCACGAGCGTAACATAATTTTCTACACTCTTTGCATAACAGACGTGGTCAGTACAACGTGGTACAAATGCGGTTTGACGACGGTTCCAACCGTGTTAATTTTGGACAGAAAGCTACACAAAATCATCAGTCTTTTGTATACTAACCATTCGATTGTCTGGATCGCATAGAGGGTGATATCCTCTGGATGATTCCTGATGCTGTAAATAAAAACATTACTGTAGAGAAAGGAGGAAATTTATTTCATAATTATGGCTTGAAGTCGACTTTAATTTTTTAACTTATTCCAGTGTCAAAAAATGTATACATGACTACTTTGTTTTTAAAACTTCGTCTTTTAACTGAACGGCATGATTTTTAAAATGTTTTACGCAACAATGATTTTCCATTTTAACCAAATTATACCAGCCAATTGTGTTTCCAATGTAGCTCTGTAAATATGTAGACAATTTTAATTGTTATTTAAATTGTTTTTACCGTGCCAGTGAAGATATCACTGATTTAATTACCAGAAACCACGAATGTACCATAGTATATAAACTTTAACCGAATTGGTATTACTCACCAGTACATTAAATATCTAGAGTTTTATTTTAATCCGAATGTAGCAAAACTCATTAAATATTCATTTTCTTGTTTCATCTAATCCTAACAAGTGTCTATTCAATGTTCCTCATTAAAACAGAAAATTCTACTTACTACGAAACCACGACGTTCAGGTCTCAGAAATTCATTATCAACGTTAGCTTGTGTACCTGTTACTGAGGCTATGAGCGTTATCATTACAATCTGTAATAGTAGTTAAATGTAAATATAAAATAATTAGTTATACAAGTTGACAGAGAAGAGAAGGGATTCAAACTGAATGTAGATTATGCTGAATAGTCTGCGAAAATCAAAAGCTCGCCACTTTTAGCCTACCAAATAAGATTTAAAATTGGTTTAAAACACACTAGGCCTAAAATACTCTTCGGCGACCTGTCGAGGAAGGTTTGGACTGCAATTCAGACACTTGACAATGTAGAAAGTAATGATTTTTAAGCTTTTGAAATAATAATTTGTAGGCTTTTGAACGTTGAATCGCTTATAACTCGAAAACGATCAACCTTGGAGAAAAGTTCATTGAATGATTCAAAAATCATCAAAAAAAACGGCCGGAGCAAACATACTTGATATGCTAAAGACAAATGAACTTTATTTTTCCGCATAAAAAGATACTGAAGTTACTTATACCTTACCCCAATTAAAATATGAAAAAACACCCCGCCATCCTCGGCACTATATCATGTGATAATAAATATAAGAAAAATGAGTAAAATTTGTTAATCAGCTACAACTACTCATCCCGAAATGATCTATTAATCCCTTTCAAGATATTGGGTGATTATTTTCAAACAGATGCTGGTATAGTAGCTGAGGTGAAAATTTCGTATTTGCGACAGTTGTAGAACTCGATTTTTTTCATAATCACGTTTGTTGGATGCCCCTTAACATAAATCAAGAGGTTGCCGTTCGGTAACCTCGAGCGAATTTGTTTAAACAATTGTTTAAACATATTACATTTTTTTCCGCTCCGAACAATAAATATTCTGGTAAAATTTCTCGTAAGTTGAGCGTTTTCCAGTTACAGTCGATTCATTACCTAACAAGCCCAGAATGGGAATTTATCAATGCTTAAAATTATTATTTTTGAGTTTGTCGTTGTCCAAATGAAGATGCAAACCTTCCTCTACAAGATCTCGAAGATATCTTAGGCTTAGTTTATTTTAAGGCAATTATTGACCTTGCTAATAAGAGGCGAAATTTTGATTTTCGCACGTACAACCAGGAGCTGTGTTAATCAAAAATTACAGAAAAAATCGACTCCTTATTAGATGAAAATCTTTTTCCTTATTGCTTCCTCATCCTTTAAGTTGTTTGATGCTTTAAGGTCACCATAGTATTGAAATGCCAATTAGACAAAATCATATTAAAAATAAGTAGATTCTAAATAAAAACCACCCTACACCTGTAACTAAAAAGAATGAAGATTTAGTTGTGCTATCAAGACAAATTCTGAGTCAAAATCAGTCAATGCATTTAAGCTGTAGCCCATGAAATAGTTATTCAAGGTTGATTTCCTTTTATTAAACACCATTATTCTGTTTTCATAAAGCTAGCTAGCATATAGCCAGTGTCACTCGAATTGCTAAGTCAAAACAAAGAGCACCTCATATTTATGTGTATGTCAAAATCCGTCAAGCCGTTTGGAATATAGGCCGTGAAGTAGCACGTAGCACGGGAAACTTTCTGACATTAAATTGACTGATTGTCCAACATATTGTTTAGAAGTAGCAAACGAGTTTAGCAAAAACTAGACTTTTTGATGTAAATCTTACACAGCTTGGTAAAATACGTATGATGGAGCTTGTAAGAGTCACTCTTGTGATTAAAGTAAACTTTTCATAAACCAAAAGTAATTTGTATATACTTACCTTGAGGGTGTTCATTGTTAGGTGATGTGCGAATGGCCAAATTATTCTATGAACCACATATTTATACGTACTTTATTTATAGATGTTGGATATCAATAAAGTTATTACAATCCCTGTTTATCCTTAATTCGGACTACTTCCAAAAATATGCATAATCAAATAGTTCTAACATAAATGATTATGTGTACCCTATATCTATATCAGAAGTTACACATATTTCTTATTTTGGAACAACAGATAATTTTGAGTAGTGATAGTGGTTATTGAAATAAGCCAGGTTTATTTTTTATTCTTTTATTCACATGAAATATTAAACGGGTGAACACGTTTTTTCACCAACTTCTGACAATGTTTATTAAGGAAAGTGGAACTTAACATGATGAATACACCTACATCCAACCTTTATCACCTTCTCGTGTGTAATTAGGCATTGAGAGTTGGATAATTCTTTACCAAAAATCATCTTTTTCTCTAAAGTTTTGCAGGTAGAATCGTTGACCAGGCATATATCCTGTAAAAAGTATTACAATTACGGTTAGTTCAAAAAATACAATATCCATGAGCTTCTTCATCCACCACAATCCTTTCTAATAGCAGCAATAGTGAAGTTTCTCTCGTTTAAACATTGATTAACGTATTCTGAAGATACCCAACCTAATACTATATTCCAGAGTCCAAAAAGTTATCCGAGATGAAATGAGGTACTATGGCAGAATTGGTTACAACTATGGTTCTCCTCTCTGCAATTATTGAAAATCTGCTGCGAAAAAGTTAGTGTCTCATAGATGGCGCTGAAACCAACTATATGCAAGATACTGATTGCAACATTAGAGTTCGAAAAAGCGTTCCGTTGATAATTTCATCGGTACCCCAGGAGCAAAATGTTGCTTAGCTGGCGCCAAGAATTGATTCTTCTGCTTTATACCAACCAGTTCATCAAAAGGTCTTCATAAAACCATAATACACAATTTAAAAGTACGCACTCACTTAGGCATGGAAAATCTAAGGCTAATCAGGTACTTCTCGGCATCTCCGCTGACCGTTGACCACTGTTAGGAATGATTAAGAAGCTCATGAAATTCATCTGAATATCGTTATGAATCTTCTGATTTCTGAACGAACCATACCTTCAACTGCGAGTACAATGAAATGTTTGTTATTTTTACCTATTTGTGTATAGTTTAAGCATCTAATTCCACAGTTGTACATGTGGCTAACTAAGAATGCGAGGACTGTATCTGGCAGCCTATCCATCGTAGAGGCTTCAGCTTTAAAGTCGAGGATAATGTTAACTTTCTTGTTTGACAATTTTTGCTGTATCTCTAAAAATAAAGTGGTGGGGGTATTCAAAGCTTTTCGTAAAAAATACTGTATCTTCGAAACGGTTGAGCCGATTTTAACAAACTTGGGCTAGCTGTAAAGAGCTATTTTGGGGCTACAAATGTTATAATATCTGAAGTTTTGTTAGTTTCAAACTTAAATAATGCCCCAACTAGCAAAGTAGTGGTATAAGCTTTTGGTAAAAGAACCGTTCAGCCATAAAAGCTCTCTATTATTGTTGCCTGAACACCAAAATGCTAGCTGTGTTGTGTGGAATGCAAATTTGCTTTCTGCAACATATTTGCTCTAAAATGAGGTGTTTAAAATATTTTTGTAGCATAGTTATACAACACCTTATAGGGCAAATTTTTAACTGTTGCATAAACGTTTATACAACTATTTTATACGGCATATTTGCACGTTAGTCAAAATGATTGTGTTGTGGCATCCATGGTAACGTTTATAAAACAAACCCAAGCCTTGTTGTTTTGCTGTGCAATTTACTACTTTAGCCAACAAATTGCTACCAATGGAAGCACTTATACAACTGTTGTCTAGTAACTGTTAAAGGCTGTACATATGCTAAATATGTTGGTATAAAACTTCACCATAACCAAACTTTCTGTACTCATATTTTTGTTAAAATGCCATAACCAATGTTTTAAGATAAACAACGCACGCATATTGGCTGGACATATGCAACAATATTAAAACTTTTGTGGTACAAAATTGCTGTGCTCGGCATACATCTGTTGTTAAATGTTGGTATACAACTTCACCATAACCTAACTTTCTGCTGTCATATTTTTGTTAAAATGCCATAACCAATGTTTTAAGACAAACAACGCATGCATATTGGTCCAAAAGGTTTTATCAACTGTTCAAACAGAAGATATAGATCTGGTACAAATTCTGGGTAAATCATTCGACTCTGTCGGAATTTCATTTCAGACATTTGTCAAATTGTTGTATAACACCTGCAGGCAACACCAAAATATTCTAATAACCTAAAGACAACATGGACGATGCCATGATTATACACAACCAAACGCCATATTGGGCAAACATTTATTCCTCTATTTAATATTAAATAATTATGTTTCAGTTCGAAATTACAGATATAAAGTGATAAACATTAGTGTAATTGTGTCTAAATATAGGATTTGTGGAAGATTTAACGAAGATAAGTTCAGTTTTCCATCTTAAAAATCTAGACATACTTTTGATCATTATCAAAATATGAATCAAATACGAAGCCCGTAGAAATTGCGTAACTAATTTGCACGATAATCTCAATAAAATTTGCTGGGCAAGTTATTCAATAGCCCTATATCACAGTGTAGAAGTTTGTCATATACCTGTGTATGAAATTCACAATGGCCGATATGTAAGTAAACAAGATGACTGTAATAAGTTAGTTATATATTCTTCTTCGTCTATACATTACATAAGAAATACTTTGGTTACAATAAAGTAGAATCACGTAACAGAATAGTTATATAGTTGACAAAAACTGAATCTTGCACTGACGCAAATGTCCTATAGCGGCTGCAAGAGGCTTACACTTGTGTTGAATAACTGTTACCTGCAGCCCTTATACAACCTCTTAAATGACTGAAGTGTCCTATTAGGTGTGCCCATTCCGCTTGTATAGCAGTTCTAAGAGGGTTTTGCCAATGTTCATACAGTATACAATGCTGTTTAAGGAATACTGTATAATCATTCGTACAACTCTAATAGGAGTGATAATTGTTAGTTGGGGCATATTGTGCAGATTGACTCTCCCGTCACTATTAAATGTGGCTTCATCGGTAGAAGAATTTGAACTAAAAATTCTCTATTTTCCCGTATCATGCCTAACATCCAATGGAAGTCCATCCTCCGATCAAAGTCTTCCTCTTTCAAGGCCTGATGCAAGGCGACGTGATATGGGTGCATTCTAAAAGTAATTTAAAAAAGTTAAATTTAAATAAATCTCTGTATTTTGATGGTCAATAGAACTACTAACCTACGGTCCTTCAAAATACTTTGAACCGTTGTTCGTGATATGCCCAACTCAAGGGATAGAGCCCTTGTGCAACATGAGGATTTGCTTCAATATATCCCAGTAGGCAGTTAATATTTTCTTATGTTCTTGCAATTCTTTGCCGTTGAAACGTAGGCCAAAGACTACCATTGGCTCGTAAGCCCGCCACTAATCGGGGAAAAATTCTCACATTGCAAAGACACCGATGTTGAGTACTCTTTTTGCTACCGCGGCATTCTGAAGACATTCAAAATAAACTGCAAGCATATCAACAGCTTCATCGTTCGTAAAACGCATTTGGTAAGCACAAAAATTGCTCAAAGTTACGCGAAACTATTGTCAACTATTGACAATTTGATAATTATTTGTTTTGATTAGGTATTTATGTTTTGTTGTATTCCATGGCGTGCTCCTATTTTTAATTGTCTTTTTCTTATGTACTCATAGTGAATATGCATTTAAACAAAAAATATGCCTTTTCTGACGAATAAAAAATAATTCCAAAAAAATTAGTGTAAAAAAATAAAGTTCATGGATTTTCGTATAAAACTTTCTGTGGACTAAATTTTAGGTTAGGAATAAGATATCGAGATGCGGTTTTCGAGATCTTGTTTAGACATACTTTTTCGTAAAAAAAATCATACCTATTCATTTCATTTTCTTGAGAAAATTAATAATTTCTGTCAGAATGGCGAAAAAAGCGCTTTGCTACATGTCAAACTAACAAAACTTCAAATATTATAACATTTGTAGCCCAAGAATAGCTCTTTTCAACTAGCCCAAGTTTGTTCAACTCGGCTTAGCCGTTTCGACGATATGGGGTGTTTTATACGGAAACCTTTGGATACTTCCCAGCACTTTATTTTTAGAGATACATCAAAAATTGTCAAACAAAAAAAGTTCACATTTTCCTCGACTTTGAAGGTATTTTTTTATTAGATTAGTATAGCAAAATTCACAGAAACATCACTTTTTTAGATTCAAGATACGCCCCCTAGCGATCACTTTAGAAACTTGAAAATATTTTCCAGGTTTTTCTCTTGGCCGTTTTAGTAATGACTGTTATTGCCGCAAACCTTAAAGATAGATAGGTTCCCAGATACAGTACCTCACATTCTTAGTTGATCACCCTGTACATATTAAGTCCTAAATGTACTAAATTTCCGTTATAGAAATCGGACTTCGGGTTAAATCGGTTTAATTGAATTTATGATATGTTACATATGTCATTGCTCTGAACAAATGTTTCAATGGCACAACATCCTAAACCCTAAGAGTTGTGAGATCAAAATGGTTGAAGAGAATTAACTTGGTTTATAAAGTGCACATTCACCATTTTTGAGATCAAAGTACACCGTCGACCAGAGAGGATCGGGAACTGGAAAATGGTACAAAAACGATGTTTAGAAGTAACTTTACATCAATTTTTATGACAAAAAATGTCCAAAATAACCTCCTACCAAACATTGGGGTATTTCCGCGATAACGATAACATTCACCAAACGACAGTTTTATCAGCCACTTATATCAGATTTCCGGAGTTGCTGATTTATTTTGCGATTTAATGAGCCGTATTCATAAAACAAAGGATATCCTTGTACTTGCAAATTTTGAAGAAAATCCTCCAGATGGTATTCATAATAATTTGAAGTAAATGCTTTTGCTTTTTGAGTGTAAGCATATCCTTCAAAGCAGTGACATAAGTAAAAGGATATTTATAATCTTCACCATATTCTTGGCACAGGAAGCATATCCTTCAAAAATTCTGAGTGTGGTCAATAGCAGACTCAACTTCGTAAAGGTGGTCAAACGATGATGGCGGAAATTGTGGATGGTAGGGATGTTAAAACGTACAAACCTCGTTTACCTTCACTTGGTAGTGACTTCAAAAAATTATATCGGTTCGACGAAGCAAATGTACAATGGCTTGCGGACAGATTTTTAGTTGAGAATGAGGAAACTCGAGGAGGAGCACTTTCATGTATTCATAAAATGAAGATATGTCTACGCTATCTCGGTGACCCTGGATATCATCAAGGTATTGGTCAGGAACTTGGTGTTAGTCAAGCAACGGTATCTCGGACTATGGATAGAGTTGTGACCAGCATAGTTGCACAGTCGAACGAATGGATCAAGTTTCCAACTACCAGCCATGAACTGATGGAGGCCAAGCGAATATGGCAAAGCTTGTATAAATTTCCAACAGCAATTGGTGTAATTGATTGTACACACTTATGAATCCTGAAACCAAATCGCCATGGAGACGAGTATATCAACCGAAAAGGGAAACCTACTTTAAATGTGCAAGCCACTTGTGATGCCAGAGAGATGTTCACAAGTGTTGATGTCAGTTGCCTGGATGAGTGCATGATTCCAGAATACGGAGAAAATCACAGACTAGATCACAACTAATAAATAAAGCAAATGTTGTACCACTTGGCGATGACGGTTATGGTACTCGTATTGAACTATGCCTTATGACTCCCTTCAGAAATCCTACACCAGGTGCAGAAATAAATTATAATAAGCTTTTAAAATAATAAAGAGTTGTAATTGAACGCTGTTTCGGCCAACTGAAACGCCGGTTTCCTATCCTACAGTATGTTTGCCGCGTAAAGTTGGAAAATGTGACGAAAATAATTATTGCTTGTATACTCCATAACGTTGCGAAGAGCTTGGGCGATCCTGACTTTGAGTTAGTTGAGTAAGACCCAGATGAAAATGAAGAAAATCATTTGAATGACGAACTTCCTCTCCGCCAACTAGGTCAACAGATAGAAAGAAACTTGAGTACTATAATAAATAGTTTTACTGATTAAACTGTATTTATAAGTTATAATAAGTTTTATTTTCGTGAACATCATAAGTTACAGGTGGCTTCTGACCCTGCCTCATTTCTAATTCCGTTTTATAATACTCTTGTTGTAAAATACTTGTTTGGTACTGCTGTAATACCACTAGACGTTGCAGTTCTTTTGTAGTTAACCCTTTGGTTTCCTCAATTTCGTATTTCTCTGTTGCTAAGTTTCTTTTTGGTAGCAATGTCTTCTGAATTGCTGGGGCTGTAACACTACTGCTCACTGCGCTCGGTATATTCCTTCTTCTTGAACACTACCAACCTGAATGTCACCTCTAATTTTCTCAATTGTAGGATTACAGTTACCTTCCATAGCTTTCAGCAACTTTCTTTCCCAATCTAACAATTTAATTGCTTTTTTATCAGTTTTTTTTAGATCTGTTTTGTCTTCAATCTTGATTTCATGTTGTTGATTTTTTTTAATAAGCCTTTAGTATCTGTTTTCAACATCTTCTTCAAGGCATCGTCCTTTCTCATTTTTATTTTTGGAACTTGCAAAATAATGGGAGCAATGGCAATTTCATCTGCGGTGAACTGCAGGTCGTTGTCATTATTTTCTATAGTTTCCTCATCCCTTGAAGATGACATGGTTATTAATTTGATAAAAAACTGTATCCAGTAAAAATACGGAACGGTCTGTGTAAGCACAACTGTCTGTGATGCTGAGTGAACGAACTCCCACGTCAACTACAAGCTGGAACAAGTCAGGTCTTGTCGCTCAAGATACAAATACCAGTCAACGTTTTACTTCTTCTTGGAGGATATCCTCGCGAGTATAAGGTAATCTTATGAATATGAAAACAAGGATATGCTTATACTTCTACCTTTTTCTCCGAAGCAAGACCTTATACTTTTACCTTATGCTTCCAAAGATATGCTTCTCTTTTATGAATACGGCTCAATGTTGAGCAAAGAATTCTAAGATCTCACAAAATGCCAAGAACTTTGAGGTCAAGTACACCGTCGACCAGAGATGATGGAAAACTCGAAAAAGTCACAAAAACGGGGTTTATAAATAACTTTACATCAATTTTTATGACACAAAACATCCAAAATAACCTATTGCCGAACATTGGAATATTTCCGCGATAATGAAATGATTATATTCATATTCACGAGACGACAGTTTTATAGCCACTCATATCAGATTTCGTGTGTAGCTGATTTAATTTTGAGCAAGGGATTCTAAGATCTTACAAAATGCCAAGACCTTTGTGACAAAAGCATATTAGCTTTACATCTTGCGCATCATGTGTCGGCACGTGTGCCAGTTTCCAGGAACAAGTGTCGAAGATAGAAGTGTGACAAGTGGCTGCGGTGCACAACATGCGCAGTAACTTGTTGGAATGGAATTGCACCCTAAGAACAGTCCATAAAATGTATAATGAAGAAAAGAGCTATCAGTGCCAACGCTTTATTTAAATGTCAGACTACACAGAATATAGAATTACGTATTCCTGTTGAGCAATTAGACAATGGTAAGTGAAGGGATACATTTGCAACCAGCTTTGACCACCTTTCGTTGTAGAGACCAACATCTCTCATCTGTTTTCTTTTTTGCAAAGTATAAGTACTTTTCCACATCAACACACTGATCTTGATGAACTGGGCAAAAATCCTGCAAAAGAATGAATATTTGAACTAATGATAAAATTAATTTTAGACGAATCATTTTAAACTTCGGAATTAAAGCAGTGTAATTTTCAAGCTAACTTCATGGACTTCAGGTAAGGTCATTGCTGATTCCAAATTCCAATTTCAAAAACAAATACGTATCCTAACATTTTTTTAAAACATTTGAAAGAACTCCATATTAAAAATATTGCTAAACGTTCAGGCTAAGGAACCAATAAGCATTGATTAACGTATTCGCCCTGAAGATAGCCAAGCTGATGCTATATTTCCGCGTCCAAGAAAACATAGGTGATAAAAAGAGATACCGTAGAATCATCTTTGAGAATTTGTCACGGTTTTTTCTCTATCTACTATACGAGTATACTTTGAAAAGGTTAGTGGTTAGTATCTCATAGATGGCGCTGTCTCTATGAGCATCTGGTAAATAGGTAAACAACTGTCATAAAATCCTCATAGATGACGCTACAGTTTCTTATTTCGGACGCGAGAATATGACATTAGGTTGGCTCTTCAGATAGAAAACGTTAATCAATGGTATTAGTAAGCAGCTAATATACTGGTAATCTATATCTGAATCTAAACCAAAGTTTATTTTCTGATAGCATATCTCTAATATATTTCTAAGCCGAAAAGCCCATCTCGGTTCTATCTGTCGTTTTTTACTGTGGTGCCAAAAATAAGTACTAGAACACAGTATGATCATTTTACGAGTTCGTATTGTTACTTACCAAATTGTGAACGCTAGATTCGGTTAAATCACCTTCATATGGAACACATTCGTATTCGTTATACTGTTTTGGGTGGAATTCGTAGCCATCTTCGTAATGAGCCCTTTGGATCTTCTTTACTCTGCATAATGTTTGGCTTTTCTAAATATGTAACAAGATAAACGACTTGGTAAAAATATAGATTTAGTTAACCATTACCGTATAAGTTTATCGTTCTCTTGACCATTCTCAATTACTATCGAATATTGACTTATTGGAAAACATACTCCGATATGAATGCAAAAAACATATAGGGTTCTTAGGCAGCAGCGGTGGCCGCAGTAGTAGACTCTTCGGTCTCCTGATCAGTCGCCGTGCGCTGTGCGGGTTCGAGTCGCGTCCCAGGAGAAATTTTTCTCTTGGATATGGATGTTGTGATTGTCCGTAGGTGGTAGACGGCTTCTGACTGTCGAACGCGGAGGTACCACCCGGCGGATCTCGTAGGCGGAGGCAGAATGTGTGCATGTTGCATGCACACGTGTTCCCTCGCCAGAGTCCGTGTGGCGTTCCCCCTTTCCCCTGTATCCCCTTATAGCCCCACGGTACCCAATGGGTGTTTAGGCGTTAGGCCTTCATGGTAGTTGGAGTATAAAAAAAAAGCAGCCTCAAAGTTGAAATATTATTATTTTCAGTACTAGACTAGAAAACATGTAGTGTTTTTAACGTATAGGGACACCCTAAGCCTGCGGCAAAAAGTCAGAGGGAGATCCTAAGCAATGTTTTGTCCACCGACAGTTATCGAAATCGTGTTTTGATAGTAGGGGTTTTCATGATTTTCAAATTAACCCACTTTATTGGCAAAAATAGACGTGGAGCTTATTAGCCTCTAAAAAACCGTTCAAAACGCCTGTAATACAAATTCTTTGGACACAGACTGTCGAAATACTATTTTAAATACACTAGCGTTATTCCTACGTTACATCTTGAGATTTCTGCATAGGACCAGGGAGATCTCCCTCATGCCTTACTAAAGCTTTGAGCTTACACCTCTTTCTCTGTGTAGCCAAGTTATAACTTTGCGGGGAAAATGACACATGGCGTATTCAGCTTGGGAACTTTGGAGCTTAGAATTATCCAAAATAATGAATGTGGAACTGATTGCATTACAACAGTATTAAGTTATTTGATTTAAACAAGCCATTATTTGTCAATTTGTTGGTGTAGCGATTTTTTGACAACTTTTTGGGCAATCTTTAATGTTGAGGTTGCTATTACATGCACACTATCAAACTTATAGAACTTTCTTACGATGCTATAATACCTTTTGTGATATCTGACTTCCAGGGTGTCCACAGGCCGGCTCGAAAAAAGTGAGAAAAATAATTATTATGGAAGAAAAATTTGCAAATAATTGGTATTTTAGGAGGAAAAATGAGTAAAAGGAAAACTGCTCAACTTTGTAGAAAGCTTTGCTTTGCTGAACTCAATCAGCGCTTCTGAAAGCTAGTTGCCGGCGACGGAAAAAATAAAGACCAGGGGGAGGAATATGCTTAAGCAGCACATTTAAACGCATGCCATTATCACAAATGGAGAGAATGGAGACAGGACGTACTTTCAGGTCACACACCAAATGTCAGTTATTCTATTCATCAGAACTGAATGAGAAATACAAGCATTTTAGGAAAGCCCCTCCAGAACTTTTTTCTGCATACGCCAGTGGATGGATATAATCCTGTATACTCGATAGAATTTGTCGCTCTGTAAGAATGTTGAAAGCTTGGATCTTAGCTTTAGATAGTAACTTAAAAAGACCGTCTTAGATTTAGAAACGTAATCTATGATTGCTAATAAATACAGTATTTCGCTCGCTCTGTATCTCTGAAATGAAGAACTACTTAGGTAATCGTCAAAGACCAAAACGGCCTTAGAACAGAGTCGCCCTTTGGGTTTTTGTCTTATGTTTTGCAAACTTCTGTATAAATCTTACTTTTTCAGGCGGGCTGAATATATTGGAACCGCTCTCTGCAGGTGGATCTAGGAACCAAGGTTCGCCCAGGCTCACTGAATGTTCAAGATTTGAAAAATATCCTGTCCTCTCTCGCTCGTTTTCACCTGTATTGAAATCTTTCGAAAATGAAGGGGGGTAAAATGGCGGTCCAAACAGTGCCTCAGTCAGATGAAGTCCGGTAAAAGCTAAGATACAGGAATGAAGAATCTGAAACATACTTCACTATGTAGTAAAGTGTAAAGTGGTAAGAACGACAGTAAAATTGTTAGCCCCGTTGTATTTTGTATTTGCTACGAGTATTTGCCTATTGTTTTCTCTCTGCTCTGCAATTGAATTTGTTGAGCAAGTGTATTTTTATAAATAAATAAATAAGTCATTGGCGTAGAAATTTACAGTACCACGTATCATGGTAATGGGGCTTTTTATGATCTACGTTTATAGGAACGTTTTTGTTATTTTTGGATATACTTTCTACTCTAGAAATATTGCCACGTTTTTCTGAAAGACCCTATATATTTCGCCTTCAATAAATCGCCATCTGTTCAGAGAATTTTTAAAAATATTGGCAGAATCTGGAGAATTCTTTAGACCAGGAACATCTTTTCTAGCCGCTCTCAGGCAGGAAGGCGCGATAAATTACACTGTTCTGCCAAATAAATAGGTACGTTCCAGAGAGTACCAACAACATGCTTCACGCAGGTGTAAGAATGTACCTGTGCGATATTTATCTTTCTATAGCGACGTTGCCAAGTCTACGTTTTCTCTTAGTCTAGGGAAAGTATGTACAATCTGGCAACACCGCATGGGGGTATCTGGGAATGTCCCTCTAATAAGGGAGATACCCATTGGACCCCATGTAATTCCAGATTTCACTGTACCCTACCCTAGTCGTCGGACAGTTACTTATTGAATGGCCCTGTATACAAAAATCGTTTCCGATCTCTTGATTTCCGCTGTTTCTAGAAAATACCAAACATTATGCCGATCTTTTTTGACATTATGCTGGCTTTTTTTGAAATTATGTGGGTTTTTCTACAAGATGATAATTTAGCACTTAGTTGTACGTGTTGCCTAAACGTGATGAGGCTTGTTACCAATGTTTGGCTCTGATGTGATATAAAATCTGCTTCTGAGATGGCATTACTGGAGGTCTAAGCTGTAAGTTGTATGTAAGAACATGCGCATATTACTCCAAGCCTTAGATAAAGAAGGAAATGCATTCCTTTATTTGAGATGCAAATTAACGCGTGTATGTGAAATAAACCTCAAAGAAGGATTTTCGTTGGACCTCAAATACGAGAACTTTTTAAAGACCAACATTTTAAAACAACACTTTCGAGAAAGGAAAAAAGTGCATGAGATGCCTTCAAAAATATATGTAGCAACTTCCTAGGAAACAAAAAGTTGGACAACTACAAAGATCTAGTTGAAGAACTTATCCAATCTTATAAGGCCTTAGGTTGTAATACAGGTATGTCACTTGAGCTGCATTTTCTTCACTCCCATTTAGAATTCTTCTCTGGCAATTTGGGTGCTGTTTCATACGAGCACGGCGAAAGATTTGCTCCGATGGAGAAGCGCTATACGAAAAATGGACCCCAAAAATATGCTGGCGGACTACTGCTGGACCATCAAACGTGAAACCGCTCCTGGCGAATACAAGCGGAAAAAGTCAAAAAAATAAATTGTTTGAATGTTTTTTCATACAATAAGAAGTATCGAAACAGTGCATTCCGGAAGTTGTTGTATCCAGTATATAACTTCTTCCCGTTCAAGTTATTGTACACGCGTTAAGGAATACCTCAGTACCGATTGCCGGGTGGCGGTACAAGTCCGCCAACAGGCCACTTTAGGTCTATTTATTATCATCAACACGCAAAAAGAAGGTGGTATACAAGGACCAGTCGACCGAGGCAGTACCACCCGCTAGCTTTTCCCAGGGTGTCTTATAAATGTCCGCATGTTTCCACACCTAACCTATGCAATCGGTTATCTTCCAAACTTCCAAAACAAAGAAATTAATGATGATGAATTCCTTGAGTACTAAGAACTCCGGACGTAAACTCACGCCACTCTCGGAATGTCCGGATGGAGGGTGGACTCAGGGGAACAACATCGAAGATAAAACTTGTTTTACGAACATCTGTGGGATCAACAGCAACATTGATGCTGTTCATCACTACCTGCAATACAATTGTCCCGCCATGCTTTTCCTGGCGGAGACAAAAATCTCAGAGACTGCACCGATTAACCATCTTAGCTTTCCAAATTACGAGGTGCACTCCAATCTGAGAAAGAACGGAGGAGTTGTGGCTTTTGTCCGCAGCAGTCTTTTCTGCTTCAGAGTGCTCTTGTCGCTCGACATGAACAAAGCTTCTGGTCCGGACTTGATTCCTGGCATTGTACTGAAGAGGTGAGCAGCGGAGCAGGTCTTTCGCGGCTCTTCCAGATGTCTTATGAATCCGGTACCTTCCCAGAAAACTGGAAATTTGCTCATGTCCAACCCATACCAAAAAAAGACCGACCCTTACAACTACATGCGTATAGCTCTGCTTTCTGTTATAAGTAAGGTGATGGAGAGGTGCCTAAATCGCGAACTTCTGGACTACCTCATACGTTACAGCTTGATTAGCGACAGGCAGTATGGTTTCCGACACCAGCGATCCACAGCGGATCATCTAGCTTATGTCACGCAAGTGACAAGTAAACTCATTTAGTCTTATGGTGAGGCTCATGTCGTTGCACTTGGCATCACGAAAGCATTCGATGTGGCGCTGCCCTCTTAAGCAAACTATGGCCTCCCAGAAAGTTAGCCACCCATCTGCAAAGCTTTTCTGGGAGGCTAACTTTATCTCTGGCCGCAAGATATCCGTCGTAATTGACGGGTTCTCCTCTTCATCTCACAACGTCAACGCGGGTGTTCCGCAAGGATCGGTCTTAGCTCCGACACTGTTTCTCTTACATATCAACAACCTCCTTTCCTGCACGATCAACCCAATCCACAGCTTCGCTGATGACAGCACTCTCCATGCAGGAATTCAAAGCAACGAGCCGATCTCTGCCGCTGAGCTGGAAAAAAGAAGACTAGCGACGACGTCATCTCTGACGAGAGACCTGGAGGTTATCACTGCTTGGGAACGCAACAATCTTGTACAGTTTAATGCTTCCAAAATACAGTACTGTACCTTGACGAACAAAAAGCTTCCTAGTGCTCATCCGGTTTCGATGGATGGCCGAGTTCTGCCAAAGAGCCATTCATTTCGGCTAGTCGGAGTCCAGATCACCGAGGACCTGATCTGGCACGAACATGTCTTGTCAATAGCGGCAGCTGCCGGGAAAAAGCTAGGCTATTTGTTTAGAAGTATCTACTTCTCTCCGCATGACCTTCTCACTCTATACAAGGCCTAGATAAGGCCTAGCCTCGAATATTGCTCACACGGTTATGGGTGCTGCCGCCCCTACTATATTATTTATGATCGATGCTGTCCAGAAGAGGGGTGTCCAACTGATCGATGACTCTTCTCTAACAAACAGTCTCGGGACCCTTTCGCACCGGCTGGCCGTCGGCGATCTAGCTCTCTTCTACCGCTACACCAACGGGCTTTGCTCCTCAGAGCTCTCTTATATGATACCGCCGCGCTATGTGCCTGCCAGACAAACCCGCCTGACTTTGGCCTCCTAACCTAGTCGTGTTGAACTTCGTACATCCAGAATTTGCCGATACCATCGCTCCTTTGTCCCGAGGGTATTGAGATTGTGGAACAATCTACAAGAGGAAGCTTTTCCCAGTGCTACTAACCTTAGGCAGTTCAAAAATCGGATTAACAAAATTTCTATTGGATCATCATAGCAGCAGCGGCGTTTCGGCATTTAAGCTTCTGCCTGCGCGGCTACTTCGGTATAAAAAAATATATTTTCTAAAAAGGTGGAATTGTTATTTTTTTAATTTTTAAAAATTCACCACTAGATCGCTTATAATTTGGGATTTTCATATTTTATATTCTCCCTCTCTAAAAACTGGTGAGTGGTGGGGTGAAACTGACTGCATATTAGATTTCAATTCAACACAGTAGACGCAAGAAAAAACGAAACAATTTCGGTGAGCGACAAAAGTTTTCAGAAATCCGGACATTGTATTGAATGGGCCATTCAATTACAGAAGTAAAAGATGTAAAATTCTTCAATTTTTCGAGGTTTGGGGGCCATTTACCAGGCTGGGGCATTGGGCATGAACAACTTGTGACAATATATTGGAATGATCAAGAATTTTTATTTGCTAAATTAATTTTATGAGCCATACTGATAATTTTGAAATGAGAATCCCTTTTGAATTTTGTTCCACGATTCCACTTTTACAATGTTCCGCTCCTTGCTGGCCTTATACATACATTTTTTGTAATATGATGACTAAAAGTATTTTAAATAGACTTATTCATTACTTCAGTTAAAATCCTCGGTAAGCGAAGTCAAACAAAATCACATAGAAGGTATAATAATTATTTCGAACTAAAGTTTCATCGAACTTTTTCAAAGCAAATTGCTGTTAATTTCCATCATCATGCCATGCGCCTGAAAAAGCGTCTACTGTATACTACGTATATTCCAGCACCTAAGTACGTATGTTCCAAGATATTAATTGGCTTTAATAGATAAATTGATGTAGTTAGTGGACCCCATAACCCGCCGTGTAGCAGAGGCCAAGAAGAGGCGTGACATCATTGACGTATCAATGTGAGCTTTGCTGTAATCGAAACTTTAAATCTTCATCTATAGGAGACAGATGATTTATAGTTTCCGTCATTGAGAATTGGGACTCTTGAATCCGTACTGCAATGCGAAGCTGCAGAACACATTTGAACATCATATTCCATAACATGATGGCATATATTTTTTATACATCGAAGTAGTCGCGTAAACAGACGCCTAAATACCAGGGCACCACGGCTGCTATGAGGAACTTAAAGAATCTTTGTAATTCCAATTTTTGAACTTCCTAAGGTTAGTAAAACTGAGAAAGCCTCCTCAGGAAGATTGTGCCACAATCTCGATACCCTAGGGACAAAGGAGCGGTTATATCGGCCAGTTCTGGAAGAAGGAAGCTCCACGCTATCAGGAGGGAGACCGAAGTCAAGCGGGTCTGTCTGACAGACACATCGCGCGGCGGCATTATGGCTCTCCAAATAAAGAATTTCTTTAATACTTCATACAGAGCTTATTTCAGTTTCATGTCGACCAAAGAAGCTAATGTAAAAACTCATATAGGTCGCTTTGAAATCGGTAATGTTACTTGTCTCCTATCAATAGAAAACAGTAACAATAAAGGCATATACTGATTTTATTAAAAAAAAAAAATTTGTAAGTATATGTGCCACTAGCTTTGTAAATTACTACTCGTATATAACATACCATTAGAGGTGCAAACCTTTTTTACAAAATATAGATCATTGTCATTATATAGTTTAATACCGGAAGCTTAATACAAGTGAAACAATAAGATACAATCTATGGGATTTGCATATAGTTAGATGGGTATTACTATTTCATATTGATCTGCGCTTCAGTCGATCCTCTGAATAGAAACACGTGCACTATACTCTTGAGGTTTTTTTTGTAATTCAATAAAACGTAAGTATATCCAACATATAAACTTATAACGTAAACAATGTTGACAGGTCTATCGGCGCCTACATCTTTATAAGAGTTTTTTCATTAAATGCGGAAATCCCGTTTCCTATATACTCTCAAAATGTCCATATATGTATATGCTTAGAGTGCTGTTTCGTAGTTTGTTACGATAATGATAACTAAATTAAATAAAATACATCAAAAATGTTTCGCAAAGGTATCTGCAAGAATATATGATTTCAAAACTGGTGGAGCAGATTACTTATGGGAAAAAATCATTTTTTTCGCAAAACAGTATATTGTAAGTCATGCTTACACGAGATACACATCTTACAATGTCCTTCATAAGTTTCATGAAAATTGACAAAAAGGACATTTTTGAAGAACACTTTTTGTACAAATTCCATCAGTGTAGTTGAGATACGAGTGAAGAGTATGTGAGCTAAACTTTAACGGTGCACCGGTACGTCCTATTACTATACTCGGATACCAAAACGGAAGAGAGTTGCATAATACTACTGCCAGTGTGGCATGCCTTGGAATAGGCAAGGCCGGTACCCGCAGCCATTTTTAGAAACACGTGTTAACAATTGCGTGCGATGTGCTTTACTACTTTCTTCCGTTTCGGTACCAGCTATAGTAGTAGCTGGAGTATTAATAATTAAAAAGTTGTAAATTTCAAAGAAAGTGATATCAAGAAGACAATAGAAATGTTGGCCTGAGAGGAATACCACTTATTCACAATATTAACTTAATGAATTCTTTGGATATGAATGCAAAAACGAGCGAAGGATTTATGAGATTCTGTGAACTTTTATAAGGAGTTCTTTCTTTTTTCAGCATTATTAAAGGGTATATACTACTGCGCGGACGCCATTTACAACTTGCATTGGCGCCAACCTCATACAAAGTTCTGGTCGTTTGCGTCTAGTGCATCGTGTAATATTGCAAAAATTTGACGACCATATTTTTATTTTACACATATTACCTGCATTTTTGATCGAAACTGACCGACTAGTACATTTTAATCATAATTATGAAGACGTTCCACTAAGTAATAGCATTTGCAATCGCTAAGATGTTGGTACCATAACAAAACGGTCCTAAATACGATCCTGCCGAATTCTTCACTTGATGGGTAACACGCACACGATGGATGCTTGTGTTTATATCCTTTCTATCCTTAATTTGGATAGAAGTGAAATGTTGGTCCCCTACAATGACTTTAAAATTTCGTACTTATTTGCAATGATTAGACTTTTTTGCAATAACAAATTAGTCGGTGCAGAAAATTGAATATGTAAGGTATAGCTTTGAAGGTTTTCTCATTCTCTACAACTTTCCTCTAGACCACCTCTATTAATTTTTCTTAGTTTTTTGAGTAGATGTGAAAAAGTGTTCCTAGAAATGTTGAACTTTACCTGATAGGAAAGTTACCCAGGAAAAATTTCCAAATGAGGGTCCTTTAAATTTACCCTATAAATCAATTTCAACATGAGTCTAGATTTTTTTTTTTAATTCTAGCTATCCTAGATATATTTATTGTAACGCCTATGTGTAGTGGTATAAAGTAAAAATTATGGTACTGTCAATTCAAATCTAATCTTATTCACCGGCCAACGTCGTTAATACATGGTAGTTTGTTTTTGTCTGCTTGACCAGGTAGCGTGCGATATATCAACACAACAAACACAAGGCGATAACATTATTTTATTAGTCTCATTCCGAATCAAAAGTATGTCTTGTCCGACAAATTCACTGATACCGACCTCTATCCAAATGTGTGACGCAGTGCTGTGGACAATCACATGAAAAAGTGGCAGCAGTGGGTCTCTTATGACTTTTCTTAAGGAGATGACCATGTTGACGTCAGAGGATACAAAGAAAAACGGCGTCGACGTCGACCATAAAAAGTAAGTGGAGTTGGGATGTTTACAAACAAAAATCCTAGACAGATAGTAGACCAACAGAAAAACGATATTTTGTTTTTCGTCAAAAAGTCAGGCGAATGTTTTGGAATGACTAGTCCTTATCACTTTTGACTATTTTCTTTCTATTTCTCATGCTAAAAGGCAACAAAAAGTCTTGACGCGGTTTTATCGATTAAAGAATTGCCTTGGAAGTACAATCTTAAACGGATAAGTTGGTACTTATCAGCACAAGGTATTTCTTATTTCCATTTGAATAAAAATGAGTTTATTCTTGAAAGTTAATACTGGAAAAAATCATAATTATAAGTATTTACTTGGATATCGGTGTTAACGGTTGCGCTTGAAAGACAATTCACGACAAGTCTGTATCTTGTTGCTACGCTGTATTCAATGTTAGTTGTTGATCAAGATTTAGAGGTATGATTATAATAATGTCGTCGAATGAGGAAGAATTACCTGTCCATATTGGCTGTTGGATACTTATATTCGCCAGGTTAAAATCCTTAATAACATGAACACATGTAAAGAAAAAACTGAAGAAAATACGACATAACAAAAAAACTAAACTACGTGAGTGGGAAAATGAACTCTTGGAAATACTGAATTATGGAAAAAATCCAGTGTTCATCCGCACTTGTAATCACTTCATATGCATCATAAGTTACTTATACATTTTTTATACTCGCAAATCCTTTTCTAGTGACATATTCGTCACCAAAATCTGAAGTTTTTTGATCTGGACATGAGTACAGCCTAATGCACTGATGACAGTATGTAACAAATCGATTCGACCATTTTCTTCTTGCTGTTGCCATGCCCTGCAGGTCAGATGGGAACTTTATCCGCTGATGAACTTTTTCAAATATTCTGTCAGCAACATAATCTATAGTTTAACATACTGGATAGAGGCCCGAAAAAAGTGTAGAGATGTACGAATATACTTAGAGATACGAACATCTGGTGCTGATGTGCTAGGCTTACATAATGTATATCTAATTATGCATATATAGAAGCACTTTCACACGTAACAGCTCTTTTTTATTCTTTATTTCCCCTTTGAGTCGCGGCTCTCAGTAAGTGGATTTTGAGGTTATGTTTATCTGGTTTTCACTATACTCAAAAATATACATTCTTTCATTGAAATTATTTGCATCCACCACATAGTAGGGCAATTATTGAACTCATTTCACATTTTACGTTTTAAATGACGTAAAAATTACTAAGTAGCTCAAAACACAGACTGCTTTTATCAAAACATGAACATAACTAAAAAAAAATCTAAATCAGTGAAATTCTTTGCCAAAAGTACCTTAATTGCTTCTTTTCACCCTACAAAGTACGTTTCACCTGCTTTTTAAATTTCTCTCACAGTACTAAAAATTCGATAAAAACACCGGAAATTTCGAAGAGATTTCGACAAGAATTTGTTATTTTCTATCCAAATATTCCTGGCCATTGTACCTATCTCCCAAACTAATCAAATTTTGACACATTCTATAATAGTAAGCACGGAAAAGCTTTGCAGGTTTAGAAATGCCGTCCATTGGTGGAGGGTGAAGGAGTTTTCCATATATGGGCTTAGTAAAATTTTTGTCGATGTTTTACATAATTCTGCTCACCTTAGGATATGGTTTGATAAATTCAAGGAGCTTAAAAATGTTGATATCGGCTACGTCTCATATTTAGCTTATTTCTTTTAGAACATTTGATATGCATAAAATGGAATTTTGCAGTGCCAATTGTTCTAGTTGGTTGCATCTGTGTTACTACGTATTATAATATCGCCAAATAAAGTGACACAAAAACTGTCTATTATTTTTGACGATATCATGATAATATATAGCTTATGAAAATTTTGTTTTCCTAGCCTGACAATCCAATGTAAAAACTAATTAAATATGATTTTGAATGGATTAAATTATAATACTTGGCATTTCTTGCCTTTACAGGGTGACTGGTAATTCCACCTATTCATGGAAGAGGATTATACCAAAGGTAATTTGCAACACATTAAACCCTCATTAACTGGGCGGTAAAACGGAGCAGTAATCTAGTTATTGAAGTTTAAGATTTTCCTGGTAATATCTGACATGTCATTGAAAAAACGAGTATTCTAGTTTAGTCACTCAAATGATACTATTCTAAAGGCACTAGCAATATCGGCGAGTTTTCAAAAAAAGTACAGAAAAAACTTTTGAGACACTTTATTTATTTAATATTGAGAATTACGGTTCAGAATGTAATCTAAAATGATTGCTGTTATCAGCATGCAGAAGAGAATCAAGTGACTGCGTAAAATGTGTTACTTTCTGCTAAAGGTACACTTGTTGAGGAGCATTTTCAATAAAACTCTTGTAATGTCGATAGTTTATTTTTGAACCCCAGCTAATGAAGGTGAATTTGTTGCAAATGGCTTCACCAGTATAACTGTTTCCAAGGGATATGTTTGTATTTATTTATTATGATGTCGTACACAAAGTCTGAAGACGGCAACTTTGTATCCAGTATGTCAGAAGCAGAAAACGGTCTTGGTTCAGCAAGATGATGACCCATTTTTCACAATATTTCTTATATTCTATTTGTCGTTATTCGCTTTGTCCGTAGGACACTTACTATTGTAATGAATTTGGCAGGGCCGGCTTCAGAGTCTGTACACCTGATGCACAGGATAAAATAATATGCCCCCCCGCAAAAAGGATTGTTTTCAAAATATTTTTTATTAAAATAAATACAGTCAAATAACTAGATTCATATAAAACCAAAAGATATGAATATACATTGTGAACAACAGTGACTAGATGCAACGTGAGTTTTTAGTGCGGAATTACGCATGGTACCTAAAAAAGCTTATTACGAAAATTTTAACCAGCAGTATGCTCCTTACTGGGATAATATTATTGTGTCTACAGATTGATTCATAACTACATAATGACCAAAATTTTCACGTCTTCAATTGAAAAGCACTATATTTTATTGCAGATTTAGATATGACCTTTCAAATGACGTAATTTGATGTATACGTAATAGGCTTCTATTTTCAAATTGTTAAGGAATTGGATAAGCTATCGAACAAACACTCAAATTCGACAACTGGCACCTTCTTTTACAGCTAGAGGAATTAATTTTTCAACAGGTAAATTTTATGATCTCATATTTTTGATTCCATTTAGTTCCTTTTTACAGTTTTTTGGACGGTTTATATATGGTGGTGAAAAACGTAAAATGAATGATTTCTCAAAATTTGTACATATTTTCACATTTTTTGATTTCCCTTTCCCCCCCAAAAGTATTACAAAACCATTCAAAATAAAAAATAGCATTCAGTTGGTAACGCGGGGTCTTTAGAATAAGTTCATGTTTATGATGAATTAAGTCTACCCAGCATCAAGCAAAAAGACGAAAAATCAAGGTGTTCCTTTGTTTCTTCTAACTCAAAAACCAGTAGTACAAACCGCGATAAACCTTATATCAGTAAAAAACGTGTGAAAAAAGGAATAAAAAAACGTGAAAATATACAGGGAGAAATATTTGAGAAATAATTCATTTTTTGCATTATTGGCCACCTTGTATAGACTGTCGAAAAAACTGGAAAATTAAGTATATTGGGACAACACATGGGATCAAGAATTTTTTAACAAAAAATTCAGTACTCTATAAATCTCGGAGGTTCGAGTCAAAGTTAAGAGTTTATTAATTCGTTAGATTGTCCAATATCTCAGCAATTTGTAAATAAGATCATATAATACGTTATATCAGAATGCTTCATTTAAAAAGGCCTATCCAAATCTGCAATACAATGTACGGCGTACCATTTAAAAAGTGCATGCTTGGGTCATCACTTAGTTATGAATCACCCTGTAGAAATGAAGGTCAGGAGTCAGACGCATAGTGTCGGATACAATTTTTGTATTCTACTTCTTTAGTTACCATGCGTAGTAACGGGTTTATTGACTGAGACCACACTAAAAACTGTATGTAACTGTAAGATGTTCTATGAGAATCGTAACATGCACTACACGCTTCATTAGAAAATCAGTAATTTTAAATTGGATAAGCATACTTTTCAACCTAATACTATATTCCTGTGTCCAAAAAATTATCCTAGATACCGTAGCGTCATTTATGAGACTTTGTCAGAGTTATGTTTCCACTAATTACATATTCACTTTGAAAAGGTTGGTGTCTTTTAGATTGACGCTGTAGCAAAGTATATACTAAATGCTAATATAGTTGGCTACACTGACCTTTTCAACGTAAATTTTTAATTAGCGCGGGGAGGAGAAACACAGCTATGACAAATTGTCATAAATGACACTACAGTATCTCATTTCATCTTAGATAAAATGTTTTGGACACGAGAATATATTATTAGGTTGGTTATCTTCAGGTAGAATAGATTAATCAATACTTTTAGCCATTGCAAATTATTTGATGACGTTATGTATATTTATTGTGCCTTGTTCAATTGACATGAATGCAAGAGAGCTTGATCGTTCCTGGGATATAATTAACCGTGAATAGTTTTCAATTATATTTAATGAGGAGAAAAGACACTCTGTGGAAACAACTATCACAGGTATCATTAGTAACCCTCTTAATACAACAAATACATTAGTCATAACATTCTGCGTGAAATATGAAATAACGCTATCCTTATTAATGTAGAAGAAACATTTAATCAATCCCCATAGCTTCAAAGCGGATAAGATTTTCCTCCTATTTTATTTGTACTAGATATATGTTTGATACCTAGTGCTCAGACAATCAGTTGCCATACATGAATTATTATCGTCAAGTCCCAAATGAATATGACCTTACAGTACATTACCATATCCAAGACCACAAGTCTATTTATAGTAAGTTGATAATAAATATTTTCAACTCCAACTTACTATATTTAGACTGTATACTGCTTGTTTGTGTACTAGAACAGATAAAATATGATGGCCAGATATACAAGAAGTCAAGATTAAGTGAGTGTT